GCAGCTTCATAATGCCACACTCTACAAGGTATTGGAGCAGGGGCTGAGGGTATAACAAACCAACTTCGAGCGGAAATCAATTTGTGATATGATTTGCCCAAAGATGCAAACACGTCGATCTTATATAAGGATCAGGATAAGTGGTAAGGAACAAATCGAGTAAGTCTTGTTGAGAATCGGAATCGGGAATAAGCGGGGCTCTTGTACCAACTGTGTAAGGCCGTATAAAATGGCAAATGCTTCAGAAATCCATCCAGCATGGGTCGTTTTGTTCGAGGACTTAAGCCACTCTGAGCTATGAATATTAAAATCTCCCAACAATATAAAATAGGTATTCGGATCGATGGGTCTCCTGGATAGAACCAAATGAATTTGCCAAATTCATAACTGGAGTCGTTGGGTGAATGATACACACAGAAAACAAACTTAACCATGTGCGTAAAAATCATTTTTAGCCAAATTACATCGTGATCAGGTGATTCGAGATCATCCTCTCTATGACAATAGAGCTCCACTGCGAGAAAAGACGCAAAGTGAAATCGCTATGAAGTTCATGGCCGGGACAAAGGGGATGGATTGGGTTAACAGAAGATTTTACTTGGGTCTCCGTTAAGACTAGCATATCTGGATCATTGTGCTCAACATGTTGGTGCACTAAGATTTAGTTGGCCTTGATACCTCTGGTGTTAGAGAATTCAATTATTAAACTCCCGGAGATCCGATTGGTAGGGTATTCTTACTCCAGAATTCTTGGCACGAAGGATTTCCATCATCATGTTTATTCTAAGTCAGCCAGGATCAAAAATGGAAAAGAAGGATAAAAATAAAGGAGAGAGTGGAAAGGGATAGAGTGTTAAAACTCGAAAGCCACGCTCCTGGTCCAGACAATTCGAATCAAATTTTCTGGACCAGATTAGAAGCTAGTAAGATAGGGTCTGCGGGAGTTACTCTCTCTTTGGCGGCAAGAATACCCTCCATGGGTTATATTTATTTATTTCTACTATACTTATAATTGGAGTTCCTGCAAAAGAAATAGGTAGCGTCAAAAGGAAACATCTTTTTTGGCAAATTGGTGTAAACAGGACATTGGTTGTATAATAATTCTATAGTTTTTTTTTTTAATCTGAATAAGCAATAAGTAATAAAGCATTTGAATGAGTGACCAAACTAAATAGATCGTAAAATTAGTAAAGATTAATAATAAAATAAGGCTGCTTCACAACGAGAGTTCGGAATTGTTCACTGTTATTGATTTCAAAGGATGATAGATTTATTTACTATCAGCAATATGACTACACATGACATGCATTCTATCCACTTTCCATTAGCAAGAATTCAACACAGTTTCATTTCTTTTCCAGCCTTCGCCAGCACCGAGATGCGCTTCCCCCGATCCATATTTCCATGGAGTCCATCCTTATTCGTCAAGAACCTATTCCTCCTTAACCTATTCCCCCGTTTCGTACTTGGATATCGGCCCTCCAAATCGCGATTACGAATACGTAGGCATGCCCCTTACACCACCACCCTTACCCCAAAACTATGAAGTAGACGAAGATGAAGATACTGGACCTTCTACTGCAGAAATTATTGCCAATCAATCACAGGATTACATTGACGAAAAGTTAGCGGAGTATCAAATGACGATTTATCAGTTACAAGGTAAGGATTTTTTGGCTTGAATTTTTTGTTTGGAAGTTATTTAGTTTTAGGTCCAGATTCATGTATATCTTGTTATAATCAAAAATTATTGCACATGGAAGTGTATTCCGCGAAATTTTTTATAAATCCATTCAATTTTTCAAGTCTATACGCCAAGAATAACTAAATCACGAAAACTGATTCATTGTTTCCAGTTATTTCAATGGTCAGTTTATCTGAAAATGTTTTGTAATATGCACACGCGTACGCTTTTTCAAGTTATTATTAGTTATTATGTTTCTAAAATCGTAGTGACATGAAACAAAATGTAATCAAGTTCTAAGAATAGCGGTGACTTGTTTTTTTTTTGAGATTTTTAATAGGTGCACAAAGAAAGTTTTAGACTTTCTTTAGTTATATTTGGAATTTTGATTAAAGCTTTTCTATAACATGTTACTTAGGCTTTTTTATGCTGAAATTAGTTTCGAAAAAAGTAAAATAATAATTATCTTTTGACGTATATTTTTGATATCAACATTGCGGTTAATAACCCAAAATTAAAATCTTTGGCACAAAAACCTTGTGTCTAAAATTAGCGCCGCGAACTTTAAACGAAGCCCACATAATCGCGAAGAATTTCGAAAATTTATTAATGGAGTTTTTGATATCTACAAATTTACGCGACTGTTCCAATTAGTAGGTAGGTATTTGAAATCCAATCAAAAGCGAAATGTATTGCTCTAGCTACCTATAATTGTAAGGTGTATTATTGATGGTTGTACAGGTTGTCTCAGTTTTTAATGTGAACAATTTGATTAGAATATTAAACTCGAAAAATTAAAGTGAAAGGATTATAAAAATTGGGAGATGGGTTTGGGATCCGAAAATATTTCTTCTTCGAAATACAGTTACAGAATCTCTATAATTATTGATTCCTCAATTATACCTAGATTATTTGCACAACATTTAGACTTTGGATGACATGTTGAAAAATTCATCATTATCATAGGGATTCACTCGCTAAGGAGAATTATATCACTCTTGACAGCATCATTATCTGTAAAGTTTCTCAGACTCAGATCAGTTAGATTTATCCCAGTGTTCCTTATTTTGTCAATAAACCCATGTATGGGTGTCCGACCAGCACATGGCCGCGACATTAAGAAGCTCAGCAGAGACTCCATCTAACCCAGCAGCTTTATTTGTCTCCAGTTGTTTTTTCAACGTCTTGATGGAAAGAAATCTTCACTCAGCAAGTTTGTGCGAGACATCGTTGAAGACGTCAGCATATACGTGACACTTCCTGTTTAGGAGTTTTTGAAAATGCTCATTCCATCAGGAGCTAATGAAAGCTGGTTCTTTAGGGAGTCCCATCACTAGATATTCGCTTGTCTGAGCTGAATTTGGATTGTTTTTCCAAATATTAGCACGCGATTTTGCAATAAAAAGATGTAATTAATTTCTTATCACCTGTTCAAAAATTGAAGAACATTTTTGAGTTAAGAGCTAGGAATATACATACCTGGTTTTCACCTGCATTTGCTTTGCAACATTTTTTTGGCAAACCGCTCCAAAATCTAAGGACTTCATAAGTGAAAAGAAAATGGGTTTAATTACAATTTGTTTGAAAGTCCTGAAATTTTTCACACTGATATAACATGACACGTATAGTAAAAAAAGTTCATACATTATTTAGAAAAAAAGTATATCCACTTACATCATAGCATTGTTTAATATTTATTCAAATGTAAAAAACTGAAAAATGGTAATTTCTTAAGTGATAAAAAACTAATTTTAACAACTGGAAATAAGAATCGAAAGACTCTTCAGTCCTAAGATGATCAGAGCGTGTGAAAAATCTCCTCAGGGTCTTGAACTTCAATGAATTCATAGTTTAAGATGACGAAAAAACAAAAGGATTTGATTAATTTCTTTTGAAGTCTAATTATTAACAATCCAAATCGTTACACTGCAAATTAGTTGTGGTAAAGCGGGCCTAATGGTTCTAGTTCTGTAACTGTAACATGGTAACGCACTGGCGTAACTAGCTATCTGACCTGGGGGGGGGCCTAGGGTGGGCCTGGCAGAGGCGCCGATTTTTGAAAGTCCTCATAGGTGCAGGATAATATTTTTATTAATTTGTTTATAGGGGGAGGGGGAAGCTCGCCGTAGGCGCCGGCGGAGGCGAATTTTTTTTTCCGGATGCCACGCCTAAAAACGTCTATTTTATAGTGTATATATTTTTCTATTTTTTTCTTCGAGCGTGCGAAAAGTGCTTTTTTTTGCACGTATTTTAGGCCATGAAAATATCACATCATTATCAAAATAATTATGCCTGGTACTTTTATGTCCTAAAATGCCTTATGTCCCGATTATTATCAAATAGAGATGGAGAATAGCAACATTAGCAATATAAAGTGATAGAGCATAGAATTGACCACAAATAACGAAAGGACAGAATACTAATACCTCATACCTCCCTAATCCTGAACGGAATGACCATTAAATACGTTTGTACTTTCGCATTCCCTACGAGAGCTCCGAGCACCCACGAGAGGTTGCTCATGGGAGCACCTGCCCCAATGCCCCCATGTAGTTGGGGCAGTGGCCTAGGGCCTGTTATTGCGACCTATTGGAATCTTTAAAAAAGTAGAACAGTGCAATTATAGGCGATTAGCTGAATAAACCGGGCTTAAATCACTTACCTAGCTAACCCAGCTTATCAGCCACTGTATAGTATAATATCAGCAACACCGATTCACGGATTTACAGGAAAAATATCTAGTCAAACTCCCAAACTAATCTCTTATATTGCTAATGTTAATTTAATGGCTTTGGTATACTGTATCACTTCTACACATTGCAATTTGCACTGACCTTTGGGTGGCACAATGGTACACAGTCCGTTCGTTGGTGGATCGGAGGATGGGATAGGGTCGATCGAAATCATCAGGCATTATCGTTCAAATTTAGTAGGTGATAACATAAAATTTTAATAGGTAACGTAGCTTTCATAAAATACCAAATTATTAAAGTTTTTTTTGGGGGGGGGGGCCAAGCGCCGTCTGAGGGGGGCCTGGCCCCCCTGTAGTTACGCCACTGAACACGCGCCTCTAGTTCTGGTAAATTGACAGCTACAGAAACAAACTTAACTATCTAGAATCCTTAGAATCCCCATTAAACAAATAAATTTGGAAATTCAGATAAATTATTAAATGACCTGTTAGATTCAAATAATTCCCCTTCACTAAATATCTTTAGGTAGACTCTAATCGCTAATATAATTCGTGGTAATTTTTTATACCTGTTAATTGCATTTCTTATATAAACCTTCCATTATTAGTCAAGTACCTATGCAAAAAATATATTGATATGTTGTGGTTTGTGGATGTAACCATTAATTTTGCTTATTTCTCCAACCATAAAAAATACCAATTTTTTCACGTTATTTCCATGATTCGAAAAGTGGACAAAAAAAAAACAACAAAAAAAAAATAAGATTTATTGAAAATTAAACGCAACAAACATGAAACTTTTATAAAATTAATATTACTCCACATGTCCTATTTTTTGTTATCATCTTCAAGATCCTTCGGAATATTGTTATCCGGAACATCACCTTCTTTCAATGATGGATCGTCCATTGGGGTGGCATCAAAAGTATCAATAGGCACATTCGATTCTTTGAAATCTCCAGAAGGTTCTTCCTCGATTCTCAACATATCCTCTTTTTCCACTTTTTTTAAACTTTCTTGTACCCATTCTTCAGACAACTCTTTGGTTATTTTATTAACAAATTTTGTTATTTCCCCCAGAGTACTAATAGCTTTAATTTCAATGTTTTCTGTAAGATCATAAAACAATGTTTCAACGAGTGGTAAAAATTTGGCGAGAATAAGATATAAAACGCCTTCCAAATATGGATAAGAATCTTTTCCAGTAAAATCCCCTTCCTCCAAGGAGAATACATCTGTTTGCTTTAGTTTATCAAGGTCATTTTCAACATATATATCACAGTTTGATTCAAGTGTACTTGTTTCTTCTTGAAACTTTATAATTGACAAAAAGTTTTCTTCGTTTAACTTTTTTTGTATCAAATCATTCATTCTATTAATTCTTGCTAAGCTTAATAAAGCATTTTTATTATCAGGTACAATTGTCTGGAAATTGCTTAGTAATACATTTTGTTGGCGCAAAGGTGAATTAACTAAGTCGGCAATCCCAAATAAAGCCACGAATCTATATAAATATCGAGAGTCTTGGGCGAGGTCAGTAAGATACGGAATTAAATGTTCTGAAGCCCATTTCATGCCGTAATGCTTGGCTAGAATAGGTAGAATTAAGGACGCAGAACGTCTCACAGCAAATACAGAATCGCTTAACAAGGCCGCATACAATGTTTTAAAATTATCAGCAAAATATTCAGCGGTACAAACTTTAGCTACGTCAGTAAATGTGATTAAAATACTACGCCGTGTTCTCCAGTTGGATTTGGATCGCTTTATCACAGTGTTAATTGCATTTCTGATGGCTCCTAATGACTCGCTGAAATTCACACTATCTGACAAGCTAGTGAGGACCAGCAAAAATTTTGTGTGAACAGCTGTGGAATTTTCTAGGTTTAAAACTTCCAACAAAAATGACACGACGTTCTTCTTAAAGCATTCTTCACTTAAAATTTCCCTCAATGGTAAAATGTTGGACGATAGAGCCAATCTGACACTTTCATTTTCATCCAAAGCTAATCTTTCAATAACCGGCATAAAACTTGTCTCAAACACTGGCTCAAAATTATCATCTTGGTGTATTTGACTTCTATAGGATTCTCTTAAGTTATCGCAATGGGCAAATACATTGGTGGCAATGAAAATACGAACTTCATCATCGAAATCACAACTCATCCTTTGAAAGAGAGCGATCAGTTTTCCTCGGTATTTTGGATGAGGGATTTTTTGTTGTAGGGAAGCTAAGCTATTGGCTAGGTGTTGGCGAATTTTCCACGAGGAATCATCTAAAAATGAAGTTTGAATATATTTCTTGGTAATTTCTTTCAGAATGTTTTTCTTTATGTTGGGAAATAATTAGTACACACTCTCAGACCTCCATTTTCTAAGTCCATTTGACCTTCCTTATTATGTCAATACAATCTTTCGGTTCGAGTTTTATTTTATTGTTCCAAAAAACGTCCAAACCTAATACTATTGTTTTAATAGCATAGAGCTCTAAAAAAACAGTATTTTATTAAAATATTAAGATACTTGGGTCCAATAGACTCTAAGAACACAAATATTTAAGAGTGTGTACCAATTCTTCTCCAACATATCCATAATATTCTAAAAAAAAAATATATATATAACCCAAAGATGTCAAGTATGATTGAAAATTATTCCATTAAGAGTTTGTTCAGTTACCTTGAACAAAAACATGCTTCCATTCAAGACGCTGCAGAAAAAAAAACTATAGAAGATAAAGGGGTGCTGTCGCGGAGTTTTTTGTAGCAAAAAATTTCAGCTACAACAATCATTTGAAACCTTTTGCTACTGGAACATCCCTTTGAGCAGCGTTCTCCATAAACCGCAAACTACCCGTAAAAAACACCCCTAACTAAAAACCCTATGGAAGTACAAGGTCGCAAAATTAATATGTTATTTATCACATGAAAATAGACCGATCCCCCCCAAAAAAATGTTAACTTCTAATTATGTTGAGGTAAACCCTCTTTTCAAATCCCCGTTTCTTGGACTACACTCCATCTTTGGATAAATCAATTAAGGGCACATATTTATACGTGCCTTTGGTCATAAACTAAGCTAAGTCAAGGAATTACCTCCTTCTGTAGTGACATGATATTACATAAAATAAGCCCAAGCGTTGTTATCTGGAAGAAGTTGTTCCTTCAAAAACACCTTAATCTCTACACTCACACATTAGCTTAGCACCTAATTATACAATGGTCAAAACGAAAAAGGAGTCACTTCAGTAATTTAATAGAATTTCTTGCATTAAAGAAAAAAATGTTTGTTTTCCCAGCAGACACGCAGTTCTATATGAAATCAAAAAGTTTGTTTTATCATCACGGTTTGTTCACTTATTCGATAAAAAATTACAAGTTTGTAAATTTGGTCTCAATTAAGCTTTGTTCCAACACAGCAGAAAAGCGTACAATCTACTGTCACCGTCACAACTCTGAGCGAAGCCTAAAATTTGTGCACAGAATCCGAAAGGACCCCGCAATATTTAATGGAAATTGGTTACCCGTGATATTTTGATGAAATTTAAATATGTTATTGGGGATGCCGTAAGCAACATTTTTTACCATGGGCGCAACCTTGTATATGTATATGACAGGTGAGACGGTGTCTAGCTGTCAAATATTGAAATCTAATATTCAAAAGCAGAGTAACTACATCAGATTTTGTTGAAGTAAATATCGATTTCTACGAAGTCGACCAAGGTTAATGGAAAAATGTCAACCATTTTGACATCTGTCAAAACCCTGCCAAACGGCAGCAGTCATATTTTTCAGTTTTCAATTTTTCATAATGTGTCATTTGACATTTTTAACTTTATGTAAATTCTGAGTTCAAAAATTGAAAAAACATACGGAACTGTCAAAACCTTGATTGGAATCTTTTGTTCTATTAAAACAAATGACAGGTTTTGACAGTTACGTGATTTTTTTTTTCAATTTTTGAACTCAGAATTTACATAAGCTAAAAATGCCAAATGATACATCATGAAATATTGAAAAAATGAAAATATGAGTGCTGCCGTTTGATGTCAAAATGCTTGACATTTTCCGATTTACCTTGGTCGACTTCGTAGAAATCGATATCTACTTCATCCAAATCTGCCATAGTTAGTCTGCTTCTGGATATTAGATTCTATTATTTGACAGCTGACACCGCCTCACTTGTCATATATACAAGGTTGCGCCCATGGTAAAAAATGTTGCTTACGGCATCCCCAATAAATAACATATTTAAATTTCATACAAATATCACAAGTAACCAATTTCCATTTAAATATTAGGGGACCTTCGTATACAGAGTGGTTCCCAAATTCCAAACCGTTCATGAGACAGTTTTTGACGTGTTGGAACAAACCTATATTCAGATAAAAAGATAAAATAATTTCGTTAAAAACTACGAACATATTCAGGAGTGGCTCCCTTTTCGTTTGATGTAGAATAAATATTCTTACCGCAAGCTGCTTCAATCGTTTTAAATACACATTCAGCCAAACCATCTTGTCCCAGTCGCTTTATGAGGGCCACAGCTATATCGATTGCGATTATTCTGACTAGATCCTAAAAAAAAATAATTAGAAATAACAAGAATATTTCAACATCGAGTTTCTCACCAATGGATCCTGAGCAATATCCTGAAAAATCAATATAAATTCGGAACGCAGAAAATCATCCTCAACTACTTCTACGAAGCTGATGCAGGCTGTTGCTGTAGCTTTGCGTACCATCGGTGAGTCGTCTTGAATTAAATTTATAAAAATGTTTCTGAGTTCAGGTTTCTTTTCCTCGGTTAGCTTTGGATATATTGGCTAGAATGGCAACAGAATACAATGATCAGTTTCCACAAAAATAATGTTGCTTTAAAAACGGAATCCGAACTCTGCCCAGCTCTGACCATCGAAAGACAGTTTTTGATATTCCTCGAATATTTGGATCAGTGCTGACTGAATTGGATACTGTTGGCTTTTGGAACAGACTCTGGTAGAAATACTTACTGAAAATAGGGTAACGGCAGAGCATTTACTAGCAAACCAATCATCTTTAATCAATGCATCGATTATTGGCAATATAAATTCTTCGGTTTGTGAAGTATCAAAATATTGTTGAAGAAAAATTAGAGTTTCAACCGCTTTTTCACGTACAACATTTTCATCGGAAATACAAAGTTTTTCCAATATATCAAAAATTATTTTGGATTGTCCCACTCCTCCAACTAGCGGTATGAAACTTCGTAACTGGACAGCCAAATGCAGTAAAATTTGATTGTGAAATTCAATGCAGTGACGCTTGATGAATCGCAAAAGTTCTTCTCTTGTTAATTTTTCACCTATGGACTTAGCTAGGGATTCTAACTTTTGGATTATGACAATTTGTACCTAAAATCATAATAAATTAGGCTTCATTTTTGGACGTTTTGAAAATGCTAATTGACTTACATCCAAATCTTCCTCATCAGTCAAAGCTTGTTTGAACAAATCAAAATCTTGCTGCGAACTATCTTCAGACATCTTTTGAAAAAAAAATAAATAAGAAAATAGGTAACCTTAAGATAAGAAATGATCATGTTCGTGTAAAAGTTGAATTTGTATTGTCCTTAACGCGTCTTATCAGTATCTTATCTTGAAAACACATAAAGATATTTGAAGATTAGTTTTATCATGAAGTTTGGTAAAAAATCCGGATAATCATAGTAAACTACTATCAAGTAAGGTCGTGGTACCTGAGACATAAATTATAAACGTATGTATAGTGTTTGTTATGCTCTGTTATGTAGTATGGGGCTCCATCTAAAACCTTAGATCCACAGGAAATCCGGCAAGTTTGCCCCCCGTTTCGCTTCGATCTTAAAACAATATATTCCATAATTTTGAACAACCCAAACCGGATTTTGCATATCTCAGAATGAACTCACTGTATGCGTTTTAAATTTTCATAGGCATTAGTTATGAGTGTGTGATACAACGAATTCAACGAACAAGAAGAAAACAATTATTCCGAATACACAGAGCCAGAATTTCGAGAAGATTCATCTACTTGGTACTAAACACATTTTCATGAGGCCAAGCCTGCAATAGATCAGTCATAGACCTTAACAATTTCACAGCAAATTTCCTACCATTTATTCAAATAAATCAAGCCCCTATCGAACGCCTCATTGATAGGGGATGCCACCCATCATTACTACGACCTCACATCGCGGAACAATATTTCCCCGACGCAAACTTCTATTCGAAAACATCAATCGTAACTTGTACGGGCCAAAGTAATTCAAATTCTAAAGCAGCTATTCCTCTATTCGCAGAATTTCGACCTCTAGTCGGTAATATAGAATTCCATATTATCCAGGATTATTTCGACGGCATTATAGGAATAGGCGACTTAAGGATAAGGAAACTTAAACTGAATATAGACGCCTCCAATAAAATCCTTTTTAATGAAAAGGTAATTATTCCTCCTCATTACAGGCAAGAATTCGATTACCAGAAAATTGAAATTCCGATTTTCACAACCATTTTAAAACAAATTAAAACCGAATTACCAGACGGTGAAATTTTATTACCCGACCTAAATAACAATGTCATCAACATACCCATGCCTGGATTAAGGGGGGGGGGCTAAAGGGGCTGCAGCCCCGGGCCCCGCGTTCCAGTAGGGCCCGCAGGGGCCCTAACTTTTGAAAAATGAACGTTGAGGTGTTGAGGCTTATGCTGGTCAAGGGCCCGTGGGCAAACAGTAAATATTAAATACACTAGTCTTTCGCGTCATGTTTCGCAAAATTTCAGCCGAACAATTTAACCTATTTTTAACAAAAAACCTTTTAAAACACAGTGACATGACCGGTTGTAGCGACACCTAGCGTTTGTCCTACTTCATTCTGCAAGCATGCATCAGATAATTGTTTCAGGTCAAAAGGTTTCTCTTCCGCTACCTGGAAAATCACCTGGAACACTTTTTTTTCCAGAATTTTTGGTGTCAGACGTGTTGACATCTGTCATTGACATTACCTTACGCACTAGGGTATGAAGTGAATTACTTTAAGCACCAGTGCGTGAACTGAAATTTTACGTATTCTGAAATCTGAATAGTGCGTAAAGTGAGTACTTTAAGCATGGTAGTAGAAAAAAGATATTTTGACTTACTTTTGTAAAACATGTAGGTATAGCAGTGTCTTCTGTTATATAGGAATATAGTTTTTTTATATATATTTTTTGGCACCCAATTTATAAAGGGGCTACAGGGCCCCCTTAAACTTCACTAGCCCCGGGCCCCATGAAAGCTTAATCCGGCCATGAACATACCAAGTTCACTTTTAAAAATCGAACACGGATTAACAACTTTCGAACTTTCTAATCCGACAGATAAATCAAAGGTAATAGAATGAAATCAAGATCTTCTAACCCCGTTCGCAAAGGTCTATAATGAAATTCACTACGACTGTTTTCAACTATTCCCTTCACTCACACCAGGAGATAACATCTTTGACTTCTCCTTGATTCGAGCCGATCACATGAACCCTGAGGAAAAAGCAGCCTTAAAAAATTTGCTTTCCAAGTATAAACAATATTACATCATCCCAATCAGAAACTTACATTCAAATCAAGCATGGAATCAAGAAAACAGACGACATACCCATCTAGTTATACAAAATCTTATAAATATCCCTTTGTACACAAAACTGAAGTCTAAAAGCAAATATCAAAAATGCTTGAAGACGGAATAATCAGACCATCACAATCCCCCTGGAGTTCCCCCATTTGGATCGTCCCAAGAAAAATTGACGCCAGTGGTAAACAAAAATGGCAAATAGTTGCCGACTACAGGACGGTGAACGAGAAAACAATTGACGACCAATATCCCTTACCCAACATCACAGACATCCTAAACAAACTTGGAAGGTGCCAATACTTCACCACTCTCGATCTAGCTTCTGGCTTTCACCAGATCGAAATGCACCCAAATTCCGTCCCTAAGACCGCCATTAATGTCGAAAATGGACATTATGAGTCTAAGAATGCCCTTCTGACTCAAAAATGCCCCCTCGAACTTCCAGAGAGTAATGAATGATGTTGTAAAAGGCCTTCAAGGAAAAAAATGTCATGTCTACATGGACGACATAATCATACAGGGTGACTCACAGTAAATTTCCCTTTTCGAACGCGCCCTGTACATCCAACTTAATATTTGTGGGAAGGTAAGCGCTGGCAATATGCGGCGACTGCGTGCGGATTATCAATAAACATGGAGCAGGGGTCGAACGAGCAACGTGCGTTTATGGTTGAGGCGTTTTTTAAATCGAATGATTCTCATGTAGCGGCACGGCGACGTTTTCGTGATGTGGTAATGTATATTGAAATCGTGGGCTCAAAGATTCAAAGTGGTACAGTGGCAATTGGCAAATCAGAAGCGTCCCGCCATGTTTTCGAATCGAACGCCTCGGATTTTCAGTCGCAGCACGTCACACAATCCCAATGTTGTCTGGCGTTCTGATGGACTTTTGTTGGTCGATTCGATTCGGATTTGCCATTGGACCACTTTGTCTGAATCTTTGAACCCCTAATTTCAATAAATTTTTTGATGGAATATCACGTATATGCCGAATATTGTAACGGTTACAAAAACGTCGCCGTAACGCGACATAGGAATCGTTTGATTTAAAAAACGCCTCGACACTAAACGCGCGTTGCTTGTTCGACCACTGCTCCATGTTTACTGATAATCCGCAAACAGTCGCCGTAAATTGCCGGCGCTAACCCATCCACAAATATTAAGTTGGATGTACAGAACGCGTTCGAAAAGGGAAATTTACTCTGAGTCACCATGTATTTTCAACATCTCTTCAAGATAAATATTCTAGAACAAGTCCTTGGAAGACGCTAGACTTAAAATTCAGCTCGACCAATTGGAATTTTTATGCAAGGCTATCGAATTTTTGGGACATATCATAACACCTGAAATTATAAAACCCAATCCCAAAAAATTAAAAGCAATTGAAAACTTTCCTATTTCAAAGACCCCTAAGGAAATAAAGTCCTTTCTAGGATAAGTCGGCTATTACCGCAAATTTATAAAGGATTTTAACAAATTCCATGACATACTGCCTCAAAAAAAATCAAAAGATTGAACACAGCCCCGAATTCATCAATTCTTTCAATACTTGCAGAAGAATCTTAATGAATGACCCCATTCTCCAATATCCCGATTTCTCAAAGCCCTTCAACTTAACCACACGTTAATCTAATTTTGCCATAGGAGCAATCCTATCTCAAGGCCCTGTAGGTAGCGATCTTCCAGTCGCCTATGCCTCCCGAACCCTGAATCCTTCGGAGATCAATTATAGTACAATAGAAAAGGAACTTCTTGCTATCGTATGGGCAGCCAAATATTTCAGACCATATTTATTCGGAGTCAAATTCAAAATAATTAGTGATCATAAACCCTTACAATGGCTATTTTCTCTAAAAGATCCAAATTCTAAACTGATCCGATGGAGACTTAAACTTGAAGAGTATGACTACGAAATTGTATATAAAAAAGGCAAATTAAACAGTAACGCTGATGCACTTTCTCGCGTAGAAATTTACCCCATAGAACTTGACTTCGATGATACAATTTCAATGAACGCAAATCCCAAATCTTACAAAAGAAGAAATCGATGCAATCCTTGGAATTTTCATTGAATAAAAATGAAAACTTTGAACAAACTCCAAAGGTAGTCATTCGCGAAAATATCCTTATAAACCCGGAGATGATACAATTGAGCCAACAATAGGAAACAATCAATCTGCCCAAATGACGAATACCACCGAAATAGCTTCGCAAGATACAGATAATGAATAGCTCATTCAAGCCACAAAAACCCCATATTAGGCGCCACCTATACTGAAAAAAGTATTAACACTTATAAAAATCAAATAATAATTACTAGCCAAAAAGACCCATTATACTACAAGGTTCATAGAGAAACTATTTTCAATAAAACTAGAATACACCTTACAATTTCAAAGCAAGAAAGTGATGAACTTTTCACTAAACTCATCAAAGAAAACATGGTTCCAAAACAAACCTATAGTTTCTACTTCAAAGATAAAGAGCTCGAGCCGCCACTAATCAGAATATTCCAAAATCACTTCAAAAATAACAGCTTTACTTAACATATTTCTAACTCTATGCTCACAGACGTTATAGATGAGGAAGAGCAAAAACTCAGATTACAACAATATCATGAAACTAAAACAAGTCACCAGTGACATTCAATAAAACTTAAATTCAATCAGGAGAGTACCTATATTATTGGCCAAACTTAGACAAAGACGTAAAGAATAATGTAAATACTTGTGACATAAGCCAAAAATCAAAGTACGAGAGACATCCAACAAAAATAGTCTTTAAACTCACTCCACCATTTGATCACTTATATACAGGGTGACTGGTAAGTAGACGTATTCCTTTGAGGAGGTGAAAGTAGAGCCCATTTGCTACCGATTAAACATCATTTACCTCTATACCA